CAAGTCAGGTACCGGTGTCTGGGGAAAGTGGCTGTTGAAAGGTCAGGTTTCTTTTCTTTTTGTTGTGGGGCCAAACCTGGTGGTGCTCAGGGATTAATCCTGGCTTTGCAACCAGAAATTACTCCTAGTGATTGTCTGCCATGGAGGCAGGATGAGGACTGGGATGGGGGAGTGGGTATATGGGGATTGGAGTGCGGGGAGGGGATACTGGAGACATTGGTGGTGGAAAATGTGCACTGGTGGAGGGATGGGTGTTCCATCATTTTATGGCTGAGTCTCAAACATGAACACTTTGTAACTCTATCTCATTAAAAAAAAAAGTAAAGTAATGTGGAGTTCATGCCCAATTCAATCAGCTTAATCAATGGCTGAACAAATAGCAGTATTCCTATATTATTTTTGTTTTGTTTTGTTTTGTTTTTCCTACATTATTTAAAGAAAAGAAATTACTCCTGGTGATGCTCAGGGGATCTTATGGGATGCTGACGATCAGACCTGGGATGGGCTGTGTGCAAGGCAAACGCCCTCCCCACTGTACTATGGCTCCAGCCAGCACTAAAGACAGTGTTTCTGCCCTGGGCACCCTGCTTTTGGATTCTCTTCCCCACTTTGCCCTGTGAAGCCCACAACCCTCTGGATGTCAGTCAGAGCAGAAAGTCGCAGAGCCCTAGGGCCGGGCCACTAAAGAGCCTTGCTCAGCGCTTAAACAAGACTTTATTTCATTTTCTTTGCACGAAAGCAGCCGGTTTAAGGGAACTCATCAAACTTGGCTCTCGTGCCTCAGAAGGCCTCCTGCAAAGAACCAGGCCTGCCCTAGCTCATCAGGAAATCAGCCGCTTCTGCCTTTTAAGGGGCCCTTATGCAGAGGCTCCTCAGCACCGCCAAGCTGAAACAGGATCAGAGTCTACCTCCTGAGATGTAAATTCTTGCGTTGGGAGCTTCAACACTGAACTTTAAGGGGCTGAAGTTGCCTCATAGGGCTGGAGTGCAAGATTCACATTTCATCCCCCACACCACAAGGTCCCCTGAGCAGTCCCCAGGGATCCCCCTAAGCACTGTACCTGAATCATTCATGAATATTCATTAATATTCAAATGTATGCAAACACGGCGGGGGACTGGTGAGTCCCACCCTTGCGTAAATCAGAAAGCTCATGTGCCAGGTTTGACCCCCAGCATCCCATATGGTGTCCACCAGGAATGATCCCTGAACGCAGAGCCAGAAGAAAGCCTTGAGAACCACCAAAATACCCCCCCCCCCCAAAAGAAAAAAAAAAGCATCAAAAGTGAGCATACTTGGGGGCTGGAGCAATAGCACAGCAGATTGGGTGTTAGCTTTGCACTAGGCCTACCTGGGTTCGATTCCCAGCATTCCATATGGTCCCCCAAGCACCACCAGGAGTAATTCCTGAGTGTAAAAAGCTTGTGCATTGCAGGGTGTGACCCAAAAAGCCAAAAAAAAAAAAAAAAAGAGCATACTTGTTTTAATTTTCAGTTACTAAACTCTTCTGCTTCCAACTCTAAGTCTGAGGATCTTTCCCACTCAGTATTTTCATTCTTGATGATAATGAAGGCCCCAGAACCATGGACCCACACAGAAACCAGTCCCTCACCCTTTGTCCACCTTAGGGCACAGGCTACAGGGAAGGATCCCAGAGTATACCTTTTCTTGTTTCCAAATAAACTCTGTCTGGGGAGTTGGAGTGATAGCATAGGGGGTAAAGGGCTTGCCATGCACACGGCTGACCTGGGTCCGATCCCTGGCATCACCTATGATCCCCCTTCACCTCCAGCCCTACAGGAGTGATCCCTGAGCACAGAGCCAGGAGTAAGGCCTGAACACTGACAGGTGTGGCCCAAAGCCAAACACAAACAAATAAATGCTCTCTGGGACTTTACTAGCAGATTGCTTTTGCTATTTTTACTTTTAAATAGGAGCTTCCTTAGTGGTACTCAGGGGTCCCCTTGGCATGAGTGTGCTGGGACCTGAGAAAGCAAATTTCATCTCCTTCTCGCCCGTTCTGGCAGTGCTTTCTCTTAGGAATTGCTTTCTTTTCCTTTCTTTCTTTCTTTTTTTCTTTTTTCTTTTTTTTTTTTTTTTGCTTTTGAGTCACACTTGGTGATGCACCGGGATTACTCCAGGCTCTGCACTCAGGAATTTACTCCTGGCGGTGCTCAGGGGACCATATGGGATGCTGGGAATTGAACCCAGGTTAGCCACACGCAAGGCAAACACCCTACCCGTTGTGCTATCGCTCCAGCCCCTGCTTTCTTTTCTTTGGTGTTTGGGTCACACCAGCAGTGCCCAGAAGCTACTCTGACTCGGTGCTCTGGGGCTGGCGGGCTGCTTCCAGCGGTGTGCCTGGGTACCAGGCATTCCTTCTGGGGCTCCTGCATGCAAACCTGAACCTCAGCCATTTGTGGCATCTCCCTGGCCCTCATATTTCTCTTTCATCCTGGCTTTGCAGTACTGGACACTGAACCAAGTCTCATGCAGCCAAACCTCAAGACCTGAGCATTTCCTGTTTCTCTTGCATCGCCCTCCCCTTCCATCACATCTTTCTGGTGGGGTCCCACCCTCCAACTCCAGTTGGGCCACAACTCCATAGCCAGAGATGATGGTGGCATTGCCAACCCCAGCAGGAGAAAGTATGAAGTGGATTTTCTAGCACTGGTGGGTTCTTGAGAATTGTATGACATATTCGCATGCAAAACTCGGAAGGCTAAAGTGTTTATGGCACCATTTAAGTAGATGGGGCCTGGGGCCTCCCCAAATGTCCAGTTCTCTACTTTACCCATGAATGACATCACCTGTCCACTGCCCCATGCTGCCCTGTCCCATGTATGACCTCCCGATGCCAACCCCCACAGTCTACTCACCTCCAAGGTACAACAACCAGGTCCCATCCCACATGTCGGTCTGTCTGGTCTGAATTTGTGTTCCCGGGCCTCTCCCAGACCGTACCCCAACACCCTGTCCTGGCATCCCTGGACGCTCCAGCCTGCCAGCATGTGCTTGTGGGCGAGACCCCCGAGCTCAGTACCTGTTCCCACCTCCCCCCATCCTGTCTCCTATCCTGATTGGTGAGATTTAAAGTGATCGACTGAATTCGCCTGGCACCATATAGGTCCCTTAACCCTCACCTCCCTGCAGGCCCCGTGATCACAGTTCTTGAACTTTTTTTTTTAAGACCAGCATCCAGCACGCAGCTACCCTGCTCACGAAAGACCCAGCCTGGGCCTGCCTGTTTCTCCACCTGAAAAGCCCCTTCTTGGGATGCAAGACAGTGGCCCCAAGTGTCTGTGACTTTACCACGAAAATAAATCTTGGTGCAGCCAGCCCTGAAGGTGCCCAAGGACTATTCCTAACCACTCAGGAGTGACACCTAGAGGTGTTCCGGGGAATATGTGGTGCCAGGGATCCAACTGAGGACGGAGGGGGGCAAGATAAGCACCCTAGACCCCGTACTAACTCTCCAGACTCCAGCTCTCTCTTTTAACTGCAAAAGACAAACTCACAATCACCCAGAACCTATCTCTGTGGTTCTGAGGAGTTGCTGGCTTGTGTGTTACTTTCTCCCTCGAAACTCTTTGTCAAGTAGAATACTGTTGTGGGGGAGGGCATGTTAGTACCAAAAGCAAATCCTTCTAAACCCGTGTTTTCTCCTTGATCTGGGTGGGATGGGGAACTGACTTTTGCTGCTGCGTTCGAAGCACAGGGTTTGGTTATCATCTCAGTCGCTTTCAGCAGGAAGAGTGAGACCAGCCGAAAACGAACTTCACCTGAGAAGCCACCACTTCAGCTGAATCTCCAGCTGATTCGTGCATCGATCGTAACACCCGCCAGGCCTTAGCTTCATCACGGCTTGGCTTCAAGCAGCATTTAAGGGCCTAAAGGCTGACTTAAAGCTCAAGGGAAGTGTTTTGTCAAGTACGTTGCAACTCCTGGGCCACACTTAACTGGAACGGAGGAAAAAGCCATTACCAGAGCACTCCAGGTGAGCACTCACTCCGACACCATGCAGAATCACATCAGCCAGGAAGACACTGTGGCAACTCGTCCTTTATTAACAAGAACATGAAACAGGAGAACCATCCATCTGGCCCTAGCTGGTGCTGAGGTTGTGTTCATGAGACTTTGCAACTTAGTCCGGTTACCATTCTCAGCACACACACACACCCCCACCCAGTCCCCCTAAAGGCTGGGGGACAAGGAACCGGATGGGGTTTTCTTATTCAAGGCACTCAGGACCTACAATAACTCCGGCTTAAGTGTTCTGGGGGGAGTCAGGATTTAAATTGAACCTCAGAATCCATTTTCTCCTGAACTCAGGCTTATACCCCATTTTCTGTGTGTGCCACCAGTTAAAAGAAAAAGCTGGGCTGGAGAGAGACCCTACAGCAGGTAAGGAACTTGCATTGCAAGTAGCCAACCCAGGTTCAATCCCCTGAACCGCATATGGTCCCTCAAGCTCTGCCAGGAGTGATCCCTGAGCAGAGCGAGGAGTAAGCCCTGAGCATCACTGAGTGTGACCCAACCCCCCTCCCAACCCCCCCAAATGATACAGCTGTTGGTAAACAGTACATAGCAACAACAAACTCCCCTCTACTCCTTCCCCACACCCTGAAAATGTACAAGCACGTCTGGGACTCAAAATTGAGTTCTATTAGTGACCGTCACAGTACACAAAAGAGACTTTGGGTAAGTTCATTGAAGCGAAGATTTCTGTTTTCTCATGTTGCAGCGGAACTAAGCAGAACTCATCTCCAAGATTTGGGTAAGGCTGAAATTGGTGAGTAGTCCGTCGTTTCTCAGCGCAGGAAGTATCTATGAAGGGCAGCGTTAGTGACAGTCCTTTCGTTTGCTGGTACAGTTGCAGGAATCGGAGGCAGGGATGGACCGACGGAAAGAAGTCACTTGGCCAAGGTCACTAGCGAGTGGCATCTCCGAACGTCCGTCCGACTCCAGGCCGGCCCCAGCCCCGCCCCAGCCCCACCCCATCACTCCCCGTCGACGAGCCTGTAGACGTTGACGGAATGGGTCTGACTGTCGAGCACCAGAAGCGAGTTCTGCTTGGTGAAGGCCAGGGCCACGGGACGGACCAGCCCGTGGGTGACGACCACCTTCACCACGGGCATCTCCTGCGGCTTCCCGAGGCACAGGACGGCCGGGCCGGCCGTATCGGTGACCACCACGTTGCCCTGGTTGTCGAAGGCCACGGCGGAGACGGCGATCGGGGTGGGGCAGAGGAGGCTCAGCCCGAAGCTGTCCACCTGGGCCAGCAGCTGCATGTGGGCGCTGAACACCTTGACCACCGCGCCTGCCGCGCCCGCCGCGCCACCCGCCCGGGACGCCAGGGGGCGCTCGAGCACCGCCACGGCCCCGCTGAGCCGGCACACGGCCACGGCGCGCGGCCCGCGCAGCTGTCCCCGCAGCTGGACGCTGCCCCGCAGAGTCCCGGCCGCCGGGTCCAGCTCCAGGCGGTGCAGGCTCCCCACCTCCGCGTCGGTCACCAGCACCACGGCGCCGCCACCGTCGCCGTCGTCGTCGGGGCAGGCGTCCACCCCCCAGGGGAGGGCGAAGCGGCCGCCCAGCACCAGCTTGCAGCGGCCCCGGGCGTCGAAGACCTTGACGGCGCGATCGCCGGCGTCCGTGACGACGACGTGGCCGTCGCGGGTCACCGTGACGTCCAGCGGGTACTGCACGTCCTCGGCGGCCCGACCCCTCTCGCCGAACTGCCGCGCGTGGCCGCCCCACAGGTCGCAGGTGCGCACGCGCTTCTCGCCGTCGTGCACCACCGCCACGCGCGCGCTCCGCGGGCACAGCGCCAGCCCCGTGGGGTGCACCAGGGTCCCCCAGCCCCCGAAGGCGCGGGGGGCGCCGGGGACGCGGGGGGCGGCGCGCGCGCCGGGCCGCGGCCGCAGCTCGGACGCCAGCAGCTCCAGCAGGTGCAGCAGGGGCAGGCAGTCCCGCGCGCCCGACGCCGCGCACGGCAGGCGGCAGAAGGGACACTCGAGGGCCAGGCGCCGCGGGTGCGTCAGCTCGCGCACGCACGACACGCACAGCACGTGGCCGCACGGCAGGCTGCGCGGCCGGCGCGGCGTGCGCGGCTCGAAGCGCTCGAAGCACACCTGGCACTCGAGCAGGCTGCTCTCGGCCTCCTGCACCAGCTCCCAGAGCGCCGGCCGCTCGCCCGGCTCGCCCGACGCCGCCTCCATGCCCGCGTCCCCGCCACGGTCCCCCGCGCGCGCGCGCGCGCTGCCCTTGGCCGCGGTCAGGGGGCGGGGCCGGCGTGACGTCACGCCGCGGCCCCACGCCCGCCCCTCCCCCCCGCGGCGCACCCTGCTGGCCGCGCGCGGTACTACGGCCCAAGGGTTCCCCGCGTGGACCGGCTGATCTTCCTCCTGCCGGTCACGCGAGGCGATGCCTGATGTCCTCTTTCTTTCTTTCTTTCTTTCTTTCTTTCTTTCTTTCTTTCTTTCTTTCTTTCTTTCTTTCTTTCTTTCTTTCTTCCTTCCTTTCTTTCTTTCTTTCTCTCCCTTCCTTCCTTCCTTCCTTCCTTCCTTCCTTCCTTTCTTTCTGTTTTTGGGTCACACCCGGCTATGCATAGCGGTCTCCTGGCTCTGTACTCAGGAATTACTCCTGGCAGTGCTCGGGGGACCATATGGGATGCTGGGAATCGAACCCTGGTCTGCCGCGTGCAAGGCAAATGCCCTACCCGCTCTGCTATCGCTCCAGTCCCCTCTTTTTCCTTCCTTCCTTCCTTCCTTCCTTCCTTCCTTCCTTCCTTCCTTCCTTCCTTCCTTCCTTCCTTCCTTCCTTCCTTCCTTCTCACCAGCACACTGCACGACCTCTTATTGTCTAGTTCTCACTCTCAGAGAACCCTGCAGGCTTACTGAGAGTCCCCTGCCCACATATATGCCTGACTGGGGACACCTGTAAAGGTGATTAGAGGTTGCCCCAAAAGTCTCCTACCCTCTCAGACAGCCCAGCAAGCTACCTAGAGTATCCTGTCCACACGGCAGAGCCTGGCATGCTATCCGTGGTGTACTTGATATGCCAAAAACAGTAACAATGATGGTCCTCATTCCCCTGACCCTGAAAGAGCCCCCAAAATGCTATTGGGCTACACTAGCACGTGATAGGGATGAATGGAGACATTACTGATCAAATCAATGAACAACGAGGTGATAGTGATAGTGAATCTCCCCCGCACGGCAAAGCCTGGGAAGCTACCCGTGATGTATTCGATATGCCAAACACAGTAACAACAAGTCCCACAATGCTGCTGGGCCCGCTCGAGCAAATCGATGAACAACAGGAAGACAGTGACAGTGACATTTATTTATTTAACTTATATATTTTTTAATTGATTCACCATGAGATAGACCTTTACAAAGCCATTCATGATAAGGTTTCAGTCCTATAGTGTTCCAAAATCCATCCATCCGATGTCCAGTGTACATTTCCCATCACCAACGTCCCCAGGTGCCTGCCATCACCCCTACCTCCCCTCTGTGACAGGCACTTTTCTTCTCTCTCTCTCTCTCTCTCTCTCTCTCTCTCTCTCTCTCTCTCTCTCTCCACCCCTTTTGGTCATTGTGGTTTGCAATACAGATACTGAAAGGTTATCAGGACTATCCCTTTCCTTACTTTGAACACTCAGTTCTTGTCCAGTGTGATTGTTTCCAGCTATTATTGTCCTACTGGCCCCTTCTCTAGCTTAGCTACTCTCTGCCCGTCCCCACACACTTGTGATTGATCCCAGCCATTGCTGGTATCCATCCACATTAGAACCTGAGAAGGGGACAGATGCTTGCTCAGTGCAGAAGGGAAAAGCCAGAACCTGATCTTTCCAGGACAGTGGCCTGCTGTTTTCCCAACCCTCAACTCTGGGGCGCGAAGGCTGTTCAGGGGTCACTCATGGTAACAGGAGAGAAGACGATCCATCCAAGGGGGGTGGGGCAGGGGTGTGCAACTTCTCTGTGTCTTCTTTCACACGCTGTTTCTTCTTTCATACTTGTCTTTCTTTGGACACGTAGATGCTTGATGAATCCTTGAGCAGTGAGTTCTTGCGTGAATGAGGCAATGTTTTCAGGGCCATGCAAGACATGGACTAGGTGAGTGAGCGCTTGGCGTGGGGTAGCAGGTGGGAAGATCTTCCCAGAGAAATGAGGCAGGAAGGCAGCTAGTTAGTTAATAATCACTGCTAGGCAACTAACTTACAGTGTCCATCCCGTTTGGGGTGGTTCCTACCCTCTATTGTGTTTAAAACCTCTGGACTTCCCTACAAAAATGGGCTGTTTCCATCATGCCTCGGCACAGCAAACTCATGGAGATTTAAGTACCTTTCCGGGGGGCGGGGGGGGGGGTCAGGGTCACATAGCCAGGAAGTACGGGGCCTGGGATTCGATCCAGGAAGTCTGACACTCCTAATTGCACCAGTGGTTTTTAAAACTTGCTTGCACTTGGTAAATGCCTGGGTCTCATTTCCTGAGGTTTGATAGTTTTGGTTATGGGGGGTTTAGGGTTGTTTTGGAGGAGGTTGGGCCACATCTGTAGTGCTCAGTGGCAACTCTGGTTCTGTACTCGGTGGTCACTGCTAGTGGTGCTCAGGAGAGCCCTAAGTGCCAGGGATCAAACCTGGGCTTCTCCCAGGCAGAGCCTGTGTTCAGCCTACTGAGCTTTCTCTCTGGCCCCTCTTCTTCAAAGGTTTAATTGGCCTGTCTGGCATATATATATATATGTATATATATATTTGGCAGATACATATATGTATATATATACATATATAAAAATATATATGTATATATAAAACAACAAACACTGTCCTCCCGTTGTTCATCGATTTGCTCGAGCGGGCCCTGTAACATCTCCATTTTGAGACTTGTTACTGTGTTTGGCATATTGAATACATCACGGGTGGCTATCCAGGCTTTGCCGTGCGGGCGAGATACTCTCGGTAGCTTGCCAGGCTCTCCAAGAGGGGCGGAGGAATCAAACCCGGCTCGGCCGGGCTGGCTGCACGCAAGGCAAACACCCTACCCGCTGTGCTATTGCTCCAACCCTATACATATATACATATGTATATATAGATACACACACATATATACATATATATATATTTTACAGGTGCCATAGCTGGGGTGGAGGAGGCCCAGTCCCAAACCGAGCGGGTTTGGAGATCTCAGCCCTGGATCCCGCACACCTGGGTTGCTCAGCCAGTTCCTTCATGTGTGAGGCTTGTCCAAGTGTGTGGAGAGTGGTCTCAGCATGGCTGTGGCTGGGTCCCAGAAGTCTTCAGCTGCTGGGGCTATAATTGGGCAGAGAGAGAAACTCAACCCACCCTCCTCCAAGGGCCCTCCTGGTAAAAATGTAACAATGATGTAACAGTAACAGTAATGATGGTCCTCATTCCCCTGACCGTGAAAGAGCCCTCAATATGCCATCAGGCTACACTAGCATGTGACAGGGATGAATGGAGACATTACTGGTGCTCGCTTGAGCAAACCGATGAACAACGGGGTGACAGTGATATTGATACTTGGGGAAGGCCATCTGGAGCTGAGAATTGCACTCGGGGCCTGGAACATGCAAGATATGTGCTTGGCCACTTGAGCGCTGTTTCCCTTCTGAGAGAAAGGGAGGTGCTGGAGATTTTCACTCTCAGCACATGCCAGTCCCAGCTAGCCCTGGACAGTCATCAGAGGCTACAGGACACATGGGCTACACAGATCTAGACCAGACTGAGCCTTGGTCCATGGCCCGGTACTTTCCAGACCCATTTCACTGATGCCTCTAACCTCTCTCTGCTCTAACATTGTGTCAAACGGCTGCAGAGGAGCCAGTGCTGTGGCCTGGTGGAGCTTCCCTTCGGCCCCTGTAAGTTCCCGCTTGTCCTGCGCATCTTGGGCCAGTGGAGGATCATCCTGCCTTCTTGATCCTTTGCTGCCCCCGCGGGACAATCTGCAGCACTGCACCGAGAAGGGAAACAAAGACTGCCAGAACTTCCTCTAGAAAAATGTCCTCTAGACAAATGAAAAGATGGACACGGTCACTTATTAGGAGGGAAACGCGAATCAGAGAGATGAAATATTATCTCACTCAGTAAGAATGGTGTACAAAAGACTGGAAACGGGCTGCAGCAATAGTATAGTGGGTAGGGTGCTTGCCTTGCACTTGGCCAACGCAGGTTTGATCCCTGGCATCCCATATGGTCTCCCAAGCACTGCCAGGAGTGATTCCTGATTGTAAAGTCAGGAGTAAGACCTGAGTATCACCAGGTGTGACCCCCAAACAAACAAAGCTCACGATCACGATCACGACCATCCTGTTATTCGTAGATTGCCTCGAGCAGGCCCCAGTAACGTCTCCTTTGTCCTAGCCCTGAGATTTTTTTTAAAAAGTGCCATATTCAAGGATCTTTCAGGGTTAGGAGAATGAGACCCATCATTGTTACTGGTATTTGGCATACTGGGTACGCCACGGGGAGTTTGCCAGACTCTGACGTGTGGGCAGGTTACATTTGGTAGCCTGCCAGTTTGTCCAAAGTAGGAATGAGATAATAAGATGTCTCTGGGTCTTGGCCGTTGATGGGATTATTGCCATGTAATCCCATCAACAAAGCTCAAAATACTGGAAATAACCAATATTGGGTATGTAGCGAGACTCAGTCTTTGTTCACTGTTGGAGGGAATGCTTCCTTGGTTGGGCTTCTCTGGGGGAAAGTACAGATATTTTTTTAAAAAATAAGAATATAACTTCTGCATGATCCATCGATTCTCCTTTTAGGCATCTGTGCCAGAAATATGAAAACATTTCCTTTGAAAAGATGTTTTCCAATATGGACATTTCTCAAAAAACTAGAAACTGAGCTCCCATTTGACCCAGCAATACCATTTCTGGGAATATATCCCAGAGATGCAAAAAAATACAGTAGAAATGACATCTGCATTTTGTATGTTTATTGTATGTTTATTGCAGCACTATTTATAATAGCCAGAATCTGGAAAAAACCCATGCGCCAGAGAACAGATGACTGGTTAAAGAAAAGAAACCTTGTTACATCTACACAAAGGAATACTATGCAACTGTTAAAAAAGATGAAATCATGAAATTTGCATATAAGTGGATTGATATGGAGAGTATCATGCTAAATGAAATGAGTCAGAGAGAGAGAGAGAAAGAGAGAGAGAGGGACAGACATAGGATGACTGCACTCATTTGCGGAATATAAAGTAACATAATGGGAGACTAATGTCCAAGGATAATAGTGATAAGGGTCAGGAGGATTGCTCCACAGCTTGGAAACCAGCCTCACATGCTGGGGGAAAAGCAGCTGGGATAGAGAAGGAACCATTAAGTAAATGATGCTTGGAGGGCTCGCTCAGGATGGGAGATGAGTGCTGAAAGTAGACTATGGGCCAAATATGATGGCCACTTAGTACCTATATTGCAAACCATAACACCCACAAGGAGAGAGAGAGTAGAAGGGAATGTGCCTGCCACAGAAGCGGGGGTGAGGTGGGATGGGGTTGGTGGGAGGGATACTGGGAACATTGGTGGTGGAGAACGGGCACTGGTGGAGGGATGGGTACTCGATCATTGTATGACTGATCATTGTATGACTGAAACATAAGCATGGAAGTTTGTAAGGCTGTAACTGTATCTCACGGTGATTCATTAAAAAAAAGCTCACATTCATTGCAGGGCTTAATACAACAGCCAAGATATGGAAACAATCCAAATGTCCAATGACAGACAAATGGATGAAGAATTTGTGGTGCTTACACCCAATGGAATACTATACAGCCATGACCAAAGGTGAAATCATGCTATTCTCTATAACATGGATGGGACCGGGGGGCCTCATGCTAAACAAAATAAGTCAGAAGGAGAAGGCCAAATATGGAATGACCTCACGTGAGTCCCTTTTATTTAGAGAAAAAAAGCCAAGAAAATAGACAATATTGAAATGAAGACAGATCCTTGGCCCCTTGGCCTTGGATTACCAAACTGGGAATGCCATGCAAGGTGCAGGGTGAGTGACTGGGGGTAATAATGGGGGGACTGGAAGTGATATGGAGGGGGCAGATGATGTGGGGGCTACAGTGATGGAGAGGTAACTGTGTACATCCAAACCAAAAATGTGTATGCTTTGTAATAAAATATCACAACTACAATACTTAAATTTAACTTTGAAAAGAATGTCGTTACATTCTGGCTTCCTAGTCGGACTACAGCTCTGGGTGATTCTAGAAAGTTCCAGGACTGTCAGGACTCTGGCATATTCAAACTTGGGGACTAGACTGTTGCGATGTTTGACCAGCAGGAAATGCCTCCACTCCACAGAGCACAGCCACCTAAGGCAGGCGTGAGTCTCATGGCTGATCAACGTCCCCCTGCTTACAGCCACGTGTGCCCACAGCCCTGACTCCCAAGGAATCTGAGGCTGGTTCCAGACTCTCTTCATTTTTTCTACATTACCTAGACAAAGTCCAAGTTCCCCTTTCAGGCCATCTAAATCGTTTTCCCTTCACCTCCCTCTTCCCCTGCCTCTAAAGAGATCAGTCTCTGAAGAGAGGAACCACATCTTTCTTTTCTTTTTTTTTTCTTTTTTGGGTCACACTCAGCAATGCACAGGGGTAACTCCTGGCTCTGCACTCAGGAATTACCCCTGGCGGTGCTCGGGGGACCATATGGGATGCTGGGAATCAAACCCGGATTGGCCGCGTGCAAGGCAAACACCCTACCCGCTGTGCTATTGCTCCAGCCCCTGGAACCACATCTTTTTTTTTGCTCAGTACCACAGCCCTCAGCCCAGTGTACAGCCGGCCCATGGTGCAGTTCCAGAGTCCCAGCATACGGCCAGTACACACACCAGGTCCATAGTCCCAGAGTATGCCTGTCCATGGTCTGGGTCCAGCTCCAACGCCCTAGCACACGGCCTGTGTCTGGTCCGGGTCAACAGTAGCCTCTTGTGGCGGGGTCAGGGGGCTTGTAATGCACAGATGCACAGCACACACTCCATTGCTGAGCCACCTGCCAAGCCCCAACTGTTTATTAGGGGTGGGGGGCCTGGGATCACACCCAGCGGTGCTCAGAGCTTACTTCTTGTTTTTCTTTTTGGGTCACACCCAGCGATGCATTACTCCTGGCTCTGCACTCAGGAATTACTCCAGGCGGTGCTCGGGGAATCATATGGGGTGCTGGGAATCAAACCCAGGTCGACTGCGTGCAAGGCAAACGTCCTACCTGCTGTGCTATTGCTCCAGCCCCCCTCAGAGCTCACTTCCGGCTGTCTACTTGGAGATCACCTTGCTCCTGGCAGTGCTGGGGATCAAACATGGCTCGATCGAGTGTAAGGCGAGCACCTTCCCCTCTGTCTCTCCTCTTTGCCTACCACGAGCTGTTTTAGAAGAGTGAGTGGGACTAGTGAGCTACACAGCGGGCAGAGCTTACCGTGCATATAGCTGACTCATGTTAGATCCCTGGCACTCCACACTCTGCCAGGAGTGAGTCCTGAGCACTGCAGAGTGTGGCCCCCAAACCAAGACCAAAGAAGGGTGAATGAATGAGCTTATTATTTAACAGGCTGTCACTCGGAGGCAGCAAATGCAAAGGTTACACCTCGTGTTTGGCAATTCTGATATTTAAGCAGGGCTGAAGCAATAGCACAGCAGATAGGGCGTTAGCCTTGCACGCAGCCAACCTGGCTGACCCGGGTTCGATTCCTCCACCCCTCTCAAAGAGCCCGGCAAGCTACTGAGAATATCTCGCCCGCATGGCAAAGCCTGGCAAGCTCTCGGTGATGTACTGGATATGCCAAACACAGTAACAAGTTTCACAATGTTACTGGGCCCACTTGAGCAAATCGATGAACAACAGGAGGACAGTGACAGTGATATTTAAGCAAAGTGCCATCAGGCATTACAACATTTTTTTTGGTGGTAGGGATTGAACCCTGATCTCCCATGGGACTATGTCCCCAGCCCTGGAAAGCTAAGCATTTTTTTTTTGTGTGTGTGTGCTTTTTGGGTCACACCCAGCGATCCACAGGGGTTCCTCCTGGCTCTGCACTCAGGAATTACTCCTGGCAGTGCTCGGGGGACCATATGGGATGCTGGAATCGAACCCGGGTCAGCCGTGTGCAAGGCAAATGCCCTACCTGCTTTGCTATCTCTCCAGTTCCCTAAGCATTTTGCTTTCGTCTGGAGCCAATGTGTTTCTGAAATACAGAGTGTCATTGTTACGCCTTGATGAATGCGAGACATTTCGATGAATGAGAAATGCCAAACATCTAACGCTAACGTCAGTTTCCTGTACCAAGTCTTTCCTTCCCTTGAGTTTTCGTAAACTCCCTCTGCTTCCCTTTAATCCCCCTTTAGAAGGTCCTGGAAGGACACGTCCATCTTTCTCTGCTTGCACCTAGAAGGGGCTTGTCAGGGATCAAAGGGTTTGAGGGCTAGAACTTGTGGCCGGTACTGTGCACCACCATGGCAGAGCAGGGCGAAGGGGACTGTCACTGCAGAGGACAGAGAGAGCAGGCCAGGGCTAAGGGCTAAGGGTCTGGGGAGAGGGCTCGGAGTCCTGTCTGGGAGAGACATGGAGTCCGGAAGGATCCAGACTGAGTGCAGTGACAGTTACATATGCTCAGTGGTAAGGGGCAGTAAGGGGGCAAGACACGGAGAAGAACGACGTCACCCATGAGCAGCGTCACCCACGCAGAGGGCGTGTCACTGCTTAGCGAGGAGCGAACACAGCAGTGGGCAGGGAGGATGATGGGAACTGCAGCTCTATTCATGTATTTCGCTGATTCAGGGAAGCTGCACATGAGCAACCAGGATGTGGATATTCCCCACGAGCGAATCCACGCTGCACATGGGCAAAGCCACGGCAGTGAACGGGTCATTTCAGTGGCTTCTGTCCCCGTTGTTTTGTTACAGGGTTGGTGAGAAGAATTCAGGCTGGTGTGATTTAAACGATGCTACCTGAGGGCTGGAGCGATAGCACAGTGGTAGGGTGTTTGCCTTGCGTGCAGCCAGCCTGGCTAAGCCAGGTTCGATTCCTCCACCCCTCTCGGAGAGCCCGGCAAGCTACCGAGAGTATCTCCCCTGCACGGCAGAGCCTGGCAAGCTACCCGTGACGTACTCGATATGCCAAACACAGTAACAACAAGTCTCATGATGGAGACATTACTGGGCCCGCTCGAGCAAATCCATGAACAACAGGAGGACAGTGACAGTGACCTGAGGACCCGGCTTCTTTTCGGTTGTTTTGCTTGAAGTGGTTTGGTTTCCCAGGGCCTGATAATGACGCGAAGTGATAACTGATGGTTTTTTTTTTTTGGCGGCACTTTTGTATAATATTTTACAAGAAATAAAGTATATTAGTAAGAAGTAATAGAAAGTCAGCCGGAAATATTAAAGACAGCTTCTGTTTTTATTACTTTATTGGGGTTTGGGGCCATACCTGGCAGTGCCCAAAGGCTATTCATGGCTCTGTGCTCAGAAGTGACTCCTGGATGTGTTCAGGGGACCAGACAGGGTGATAGAGATGGAACCAGGCTTAGCGACATGCAAGGCAAGTACCTTACCTCCTGTACTAACTCCTGGGTCACCCTCTTTAATTTCTGTTTTAAACAAGCAGTGGAAACTATTTATATGATTTTTGAGCCTTGGCCAGCCGTGCGTGGGGGTGGTTCCGGCAGAGCTGAGGGCATCGTGAGAGAAGCCAAGTCCACCTGCAGGCGCGTGCTCACTTCCGCGTCAGTAAATATAACTGCTCCACGAGGGAGTCGATCCCCCAGCTCTTATGTCTGTCCTCCAAGGCATCGACTGTCTCCAGAGAGTGAATGCTACAGACTGAACCTGAAACAAGAGGCAAAGGCACCAGATTAAGGGGAACCCTACCATGGCATTACTGTAAACCACAGCATCTCAAATACAATGTTTAAAATGTTATTACATTTTATTTTTTTATGTAGGAGTACTGCGAGTTATTCAGCCACTTATTAGCTGATTGAACTGGGCATGAATTCCACCTTACTTTTTTCCCCCATTTTTTATAATTTTATTTATTGAATCACCATGAGAGCAGTTACAAGGCTTTTTGGTTTAAGTCTCGTTCATACAATGAAACACCCATCCCTTCACCAGTGCCCATTCTCCACCACCAAAAATCCCAGTATACCCCCATCCCACACCCTCCCCCTGCCTGTGGGGCAGATGATTTCCACATTACTCTCTCTCTACTTTGATCACATTCAATATTTTGACACCAGACCCACCATTATTATTTGGGATTTTACCCCCACACTCAGATCTGCTGAAAAGGCAACAGTAGACAATTTGTTTTCTACTGTTGGTTAAGAGTAACATATAATGTTGCGTGGCTGCAGTAGTGGCTGTGCAATTTTGAAATTCTGAAATTTTAAAACTTAAATCTGGAGGGATTTCTGTCAAAACCTGCTGGGTTCTGAGATTTGTTCCCGAGTCTCTGGGTTCATGGTCGTTAAGCAGCTTGATCAGGAGCCAGAAAGGCCGTTCGTGGGCGGCAACTTGGGGTCTTGTTGGGACGGGGAGGAAAGGGCTGGCTCCACCCCCATCCCGTGACGCCCCGCGTGTCTTGTCACTGTGGGCCCAAATCTGACTGTCCAGTGGCCTCTGGAGGATGGCGGCCACCGAAACGCCTAGGGGGAGCAGGCGGAGGGACAACACCCTTTCCTCCTTGGGGTGGCCTGGCGACAGTAACCTACTGCAGGTCCGGACCCATTTCTGCCAAAAGCCATTGGGTTTCGAGATTTGTTTCTTAGTCTCTGGGCCGTTAAGCAGTTTTATTAGAAACCAGAGAGGCCATGCCTCTAATTCTATAGCTGAGCCAGAGGTGGTTTGTGGGTGTGTCTTCCACATACCTAACTTTTGGCCATTTACTTTGTGGTAAACTTTGCCCCAAGTTTTTGGGGTCTGGCTAAAGGCACAGCAGCAATTCTGGGGTGTCTAGAAGTCTGAAGGTGTCATCAGGCTGCTGATGCACTTGCCTCACAAGTACAGACTGACCTGCTGGCGGCACCATACCCCCCGAATTTTAAAAATTTTAAATGCAACCAGTGGCTTTTCTAAAAACACACTAAGGGATTTTTTGTTTTGGGGCTACACCTGGCAGTGCTCAGGGGTTACTCCTGGCTCTGCACTCAGGAATTACTCCTAGTGGTACTTGGGGGACCACGTGGGATGCCGGAGATGGATCTGCTGGGTCAGCTGCAAAATGCCCTCCCCACTGTGCTATCTCTCTGGGCCCAGTCCTTTGTTTTATTTAATTTTTTTTTGTTTTTTTTTTTTTGCTTTTTGGGTCACACCTGGCGATGCACAGGGGTTACTCCTGGCTCTGCACTCAGGACTACTCCTGGGAGTGCTCAGGGGACCATATATGTGACGCTGGGAATTGAACCCGGGTCGGTCGTGGGCAAAGCAAACGCCCTACTCTCTGTGCGATCACTTCAATGCCCAGTCCTTTGTTTTAAAGAATAAAATTAATGTCAACAAAATGGTTTCTCATAAAGTAAGGGGGCAGACAGACAGTACCTAATGCTAACAAACACTTGGACTTTGACTACAGAACTGAGGTCCTAGGAACTTGGGGGAAGGGATGGGGGTAGGTGAGAGACAGAGGGTTAGAAGTGACAGGAGGACACGACAAAAAGTCTTGGGTGCATTGGTGTTGGTGCAGTGACTTCTGTATACCAACACCACTCAAGTTGATACTCTTAGAACTACATCACCTAAACTACAGTTACATGCCAGCTTCAGTCAGCTTAATCAGTGGCTGAGTAAGCAGCAGTATTGCAGCACTGTCTGTAGCACTGTCCTCCCGTTGTTCATGGATTTGCTCGAGCGGGCACCAGTTGCGTCTCCATTGGGAGACTTGTTGTTACTTGTGTTTGGCATATCGAATATGCCATGGAGAGCTTGCCAGGCTCTGCCGTGTGGGTGGAATACTCTCGGTAGCTTACCAGGCTCTCTGAGAGGGATGGAGGAATCAAACCCGGGTCAGCTGCGTGCAAGGCTAACGTCCTACCTGCTGCGCTATCGCTCCAGCCCAAGCAGCCGTACCCCTACATTTAAAAAATATAAAATAAAATAAAAAGTTGAAGCACACGTCCACGACTTACCAAACAATTTCCGGACTTCGGAATCTGGAACGTAAAACGGTGGGCCTGGGGGAGAGAGGTGCACGGGTGAAGGGTAGTTTTTCCAGGGGAGCAAGGCAGAGTGCAGGGACTCCGGCTCCACCCCCCGCACCCCTCGGTTGTGGTCCCCATAAGCTCTGACTCTGAGAGAAGCCAAGACTCAGAGCCGCTTCCCCAGGCAGACACCAACAGCACAGACACACTTGCTTTAGGCACAACAAAATCATGCCAATGGGTGGGGGCGAGGCAGGCGGGTGGCCGACTCTCCCCTCCCGGGAGAAAATAACACTCTTCATGCCAGAGAACTGCAACAGGAGTTGTGGCCACTGGAAGCGCAGAGCATCTCCTTACCTCCGTGTTTGGTTGGGTCGTAGGAAAGAACAGCCAAGAGGTACTGGAACCCCTTTCCCGTGAGGGACAGCATTAAATCCGCGTAGCTGCAAGGAGCAGGGGAGGCGAGGGTTACACTCCCCACCCAACCCCTAGAGGGACCAGGGGACAGCCATTTGCAAGTAAGTGGATGAACATAGAGAATATCATGCTAAATGAAATGAGTCAGAAAGAGAGGGACAGACATAGAATGACTGCACTCATTTGTGGAATATAAAGTAGCATACTATGAGACTGGGCTGGAGAGATAGCAGAGTGGGTAGGGCATTTGCCTTGCATGCGGCCAACCTGGATGACTCGAGTTCGATTCCTCTGCCCCTCGTGGAGAGCCTGGCAAGCTACTGAGAATATCTCACCCGCATGGCAAAGCCTGGCAAGCTACCCGTGATGTATTCTATATGCCAAGCACAGTAACAATAAGTCTCACAATGTTACTGAGCCCACTTGAGCAAATTGATGAACAATGGGAGGACAGTGACAGTGACAGTGACTTATGAGACTAACACCTAAGGACAGCTGAGATAAGGGCCAGGAGGATTACATCATGGTTAGAAAGCTGGCCTTGTGTGCTGGGGGAAAAGGTGGGTGGGATGGAGAAGGAACCACTAAGTAAATGATGGTTGGAGGGATCGCCCGGGATGGGAGATGTATGCTGAAAGTAGACCAAGGACCAAACATGATGACCTCTTAATATCTGTATTGCAAATTATAATACCCAAAATGAGAGAGTGAGAAAGTAGGAGGGAATGTGCCTGCCACAGAGGTAGGGAGTGGGGATGGGGTGGGGTAGCAGGTGGGATACTGAGAACAATGGTGATGGAAAATGTGCACTGGTGGAGGGATGGATGCTCGAGCATTAGGCACTGTTTGAAATGCAATCACGCAAGTCTGTAACTGCATCTCACGATGATTTAATAAAACTTCTTAAATAAACAAACAAACATAAAACAAGGTGTCCCGAGTCCCAGCACTGGAAGACCCCAGAGAGGTTCCTTCTAGCCTGCTGGGGTCTCCCACGGCACGGTGGCCTCGGATATAAATGTCCTGGATGGGGGACTGGCATTTGTGGTGGAGGTGCCAGAAACACTATGTGAGCTCCGCCCAGAGACGCTGTGTGAGTTCTGCCCAGAGATCAGCTGTGGTGCCTGGGAGGATGCAGGTGACTGAGTACCTGGAGGGGGTTGGGGCTGTGGCTCCCTGGAGAGCATCTGCAGTACACGCGTGAGCCTCTGGGTCTCATATCTGGCACCAAAGTGGGGGAGAAACAGTTCTAGGGGACTAGGATCTGCACAGGGTCTTAGGGAAGAACATTGTCTTTCCCCAGTTTAGCTGGAAAGAGCGAATGGACAGGCAGAACTGGAGAGTTAGAAGTCAGAATTCAGCTCAGTCTAAACTCTGAGTGCAATATTGTGGGAGCCTCACACCCAAGGATAGTAGAGATAAGGGCCAGGAGGATGGCTCCATGGCTTGGAAGCCGGCCTCATATGCTGGGGGAAAAGGCAGCTGGGACAGAGAAGGGACCACTAAGTGAATGATGCTTGGAGGGCTTGCTCGGGATGTGTGATGCGTGCTGAAAGTAGACTATAGACCAAACACGATAGCCACTTAATACCTGTATTGCAAACCTTAACACCCAAAAGGAGAGAGAGAGTAAAAGGGAATTTGCCTGCCACAGAGGTGGGGCGGGGGGTGGGGGGGATGATGGGGTGAGGGGATGGGATACTGGGAACATTGGTGGTAGAGAATGTATACTGGTGGAGGGAGGGGTACTCAATCATTGTATGACTGAAATGTAATCACGAAAGTTTGTGAGTCTGTAACTGTATCTCACGGTGATTCATTAAAAAAATTAAAAACAACAACTCTGAGTGCAGGTGCCAAGGTGAGCAGGGTCAGTGCATCTTGATGGCTGGTTCAGGGTGATGATGAGTCTCTCCGGTGGCCTATCAGAGGGCAGGCTGGGGTGGGGGCCGGCTGTGGCCACAGGCGGGCCTATCTGAGCTGTGGTCATTCTGGAGCCAAGACCGCAGGCCTCCTAAGTGTCTCAACTCCCACTTGGACCCCCACTGCCTGGGTTTTGAGCCCTACCCAGCAGTGCTCAGAGCTGACTCCTGGCTCTGTGCTCAGAGATGACTCAGGGGAGGTTTTCTGCAGGCACAGCATGACGTGGCCCACTGCACGCCCCGTCTCTCTCTCTCTCTCTCTAGTCAATAAATGAACACTTTATTTCACTAATGTGCATTCTAAGCTTTTATTTTTGGCACATATCTGGTCTGCCTTCAGAGGTAAGTACTTCAATTTTCCGTGTTACATCCAAGTCAGTACGTGGTACTATCTGAGTTGCAAAGTACCAAGGGGTCAGTCACATCTTATTCATTTTACTCCTGATGCTACTTCATTTTTGAGCTCTGAATACAGTAAGAGTTTTCAAACTTAGCATACGTCGAGCCAAAAGAGAACAGCACTCAAGGTGATTTGGGGGAATAGTACAATAGGACGGGCGCCTGCTTTGCACCCCATATGGCAACACGAGCCCACCAGGAAGGACCCCTTAATGTAGAGTCGGGAGTAAGCTCTGAGCATCGCTGGGTGTGGTCCCCAAAACAAAAAACACAATTTAAATTAAAGGAAGGTTCGGGGAAATCTCCAGGCTCTCACAGAGTCAGGAATGGGCAACCTTCCCCCATCTCCCTGTTCTTCCGGGAGCCTGGCAGTCACGCCCACAAAGTGCCTCTGGGCATCATATAAGCTCATTAATGACCATGACGCTGAGAACCACAAATAAATCTTGGAAGAGAACAACAAGCTTCAGAGATACCTCCAGACCCCAAAGTCACCATCCAGTTAAAAATTAACTCCAGCTATATATCACTCTATATAAAATTTTAGAATTTGGGGTTGTAGCAATAGCACAGCAGGTAGGGCATTTGCCTTGCACGCAGCCGACCCGGATTTGATTCCCAGCATCCCATATGGTCCCCTGAGCACCGCCAGGGGTAATTCCTGAGTGCAGAGCCAGGAGGAACCCCTGAGCATCGCAGGTAAGGCGTTTGCCTTGCACGCAGCCGATCTGGGTTCGATTCCCAGTATCCCATATTGCCAGGAGTGATTCCTGAGTGTAGAGTCAGGAGGAACCCCTGTGCATTGCTGGGCGTGACCCAAAAAGCTAAAAAACTAAATAAACAAATAAAACAAAATTTAAGAATTCCTGGAGTGGATGCAGCTGTGCGATATCTCCTACTCTACCCCACTAGATGTACCAAGAATACAAGGGCTTAATGTCTCCGGGGTGGGATACAACCTTCACACACTTATCTCGAGCCGGCCCAGTAAACTCTCCAATTGTGAGACTTGTTACTGTGTTTGGCATATTGAATCCGTCAGGGGTAGCTTGCCAGGCTTTGCTGTGCGGGCGAGATACTCTCAGTAGCTTGCCAGGCTCTCCGAGAGGGGCGGAGGAATCGAACCCTGGTCAGCCCAGTCGGCCACGTGCAAGGCAAATGTCCTACCTACTGTGCTATAGTAATACAAAATAAATTATTTAGGATCTGCCTTTGGGACAGGTTTGGGTGGTGGTGGGGCAATCCGAAATAATGGTGGTGGTATTGGTGTCGGAATATTGAAAGTAATAAATGATGGTGTACAACAACAACAAAAAAAGATGGTTCAGGGGCGTGGGGGTGGGAGGGAAGACCATCATGGAAGAAACCAAATGACAAACCGCTTCCGATCTCCAGGATTGATGGCGACCAAGGCTCCTCTATCCCAGATCCGGTCAAACTTGCCCACGGGGGCTCTGGGGAGAGAAAAAAAATGGGAGGAAACGCAACAGTGAGTGTAAGAATAAAAGCAAGCCTTTATCAAGAAGCGCCGTCTTTTCCGGGCACAGGCTGGTCCTTCACCGGCCTTCAAGGGCTGGGGGGCGGGGGGGGGGGGGGGGTGGTGCGCGTCTGTGAGTCCGCAGCAGTGCAGAGGTGGAGGGAGGAGGCTCGCAGTCGCAAGGGTCAGCCGCCTTCTGCCGAGACTTGACAGCACAGAAGAAGAACGAACGCGAGCTTGGGACGCTGCACTCCCGGCCCTTGACAGGTCTCGCGGTCTTACGGAGGAGAAAGCTCAGCTGTCCAGTGCCAAGAAATAGCTTCCTTTACCAAGGCGGTGGGAAAAGAGGAACATGTGTGCGCAGACACACGCCACACACAGACACACACCCCACATGCCCCCTCCTCCTTCGCCCCTCCCCCCTTCCTTCACCTGCCCCACCTGGATAGCTCACCTACCCCTGTCCTGAGAAATTCTTTTACCAAGGTGGGTGGAACGAGCAAAAGGCGTGTGCGCACAGAAATGCGCAGACAGACGGACTGATGAAGGACAGACACGGACACACGGACACACGGACACACACCACTCCCCCTTCCTTCACCTGCCTAGTCTGGAAGGTTTACACACACACACACACACACACACACACACACACACCACTCCCCTTCCTTGATCTGCCTAGTCTGGAAGGTTTACACACACACACACACACACACACACACACACACACACATACACCCCACACCCCACTTCACCTGCCTACTCTGGAAGGTTTGAACACACACACACACACACACACACACACACATACTCTCTCTCTTTCCCCCGCCCCCCTTCCTTCACCTGCCCCGTCTGGAAGCTTTCCAAGGACCAAGGTGCAGCCTTGGTAGGTTGGAAAGAAAATCACTGCACAACAGACATTGAAACGCAGCGCCTTGTGGGGTTGCTGCCGTGAACGGTTGCCCTCCCCTCCCCCAAAGCCCTTTCAGGCCGAGACACGCTCAGAGACACGCTCAGCAGGGCGTTCTGTCCTACCTGGGCAGATCAAAAAGGTTGCAGCAGTACAGCGAAATGTTCCCTGAAGAACTCTGCCAGGCAAAGCCAAGAGAAAAACATCCCATTACTTTCAGGAGACACAGACGGGGAATAACAGAGGCTACAAAAGCAAAACAGAGGCTGTAGAGACACGACGTGCAATTAAACAGGCAGCCTTGAGTTAGTGAGCATTAGTCACCCCTTATGTGGATTCTTTTTTTCTTTTTAAGTCACACCCATGCTCAGAGGTTATTCCTGGCTCCCAACTCAGGAATTACTCCTGGTGGTGCTGGGGGAACCATGTGGGATGCCAGGGATCAAACTTAGGTCAGCCGCGTGCAAGGCAAACGCCCTCCCCCGCTGGACTATGCTCCAACCCCATTACATGCATTTCTTCTCCTCGGTGGGTTTCCTGAAAATCAGAGGGAGAGGGTGACCCCACAGACCAGCCAGCTCGTGTTGGCTTCAGAGCTTATTAGATTTTTTTATTGTGTAAGCTTGAGCACGGTCCTGACTTAGAACAACCTGCTCCCTTTTCTCTCTTTATCCTTTCGGTCATACCCAGCGGTGCTCAGGGATGAGTCCTGGCTCTGTGCCCGGGGACCACTCCTGCCGCATGCCAGACCAAATGCCCGTCACTGTATTATCCCTCTCCTTCTGTCCCCTTCTCTCTCTCACCCACTAACCAACATTTCTTCCCTGGCCATCCTGTCGACAGGAGGCTGTGCCAGGCTCTGGGCCAGAGGCTTCCTGGGCAGGGGCTGGAGTTAAACATCTCCAGTGCAAATGTGGCACTGCAGACAGATCTTCTGCCACAGAGGAAGCACTGTCCTCCCATTGTTCATCGATTTACTCGAGCGGGCATCAGTAATGTCTCCATTGTGAGACTTGTTACTGTGTCTGGCATATTGGATACGTCACGGGGAGCTTGCCAGGCTTAGCCGTGCGGGGCTTTTGTGTAGGAATGAAAATAGTGATTTACCCCCAACCCAACAAACCTTAAATACTTTAGCTCCAGGAATTTCCCCAACGGGCTCTTCCGAGTAAGAAATATTTTGTTCTGTAAAAAACTCCTGTATTGCAAGTTCACTGATTTCCACCCCAACTACGTAGTGTCCTCGGTCTGCAAACCTGCACAAGAACAGATATTCACACTTCTATGTATATATATTTTTTTCTTTTTGGGTCAGACCTGGCAATGCACAGGAGTTATTCCTGGCTCATGCATTCAGAAATTACTCCTGGCGGTGCTCAGGAGACCATATGGGATGCTGGGAAACGAACCCGGGTCGGCCGCGTGCAAGGCAAATGCCCTATCTGCTGTGCTATCGCTCCAGCTCCGTTTTTTTTTTTTTTTGACTTAAAAAAAATTAAACTTTCGGGCAAATTTTTTTTTTATGTTTAATTAAAAAAAATTTTAAAAGAATTTATTAAAAAAAATTTAAGCAGTGCTCAAGGGTTGCTCCTGAAGGTCCTTGGTGGCAGATGGGGGGGTGGGGTAGGTGTCAGGATAACATGTGATGCTGGGGACTGAAGCCAGGCTTTCTGCCTGCCTCATAGGTGCTCCAGGCCACCGAGCTCTCTCTTCAAACTTAACATCTGAATTTTCATTTCCGACTCAGCAATCGAATATGTCCCAACGAACATGCATCTCCCTTCACTTTAGGGGATTTCCATGATTCAACTTCACAGAGCTTCTTGGCATGTACAGGCACTGGATCTCTATGTTTTCAAACTTCACCTTCTGTGCGCTTCTAGAAAACCGATCTCTGTGACCTTTGCGGTGGGGCGGGAAATATAAAAACCTTAGAAAATGATACCTCAATCTGCCAGCTAACTACAAATGGATGCAATCACAAACGTTTCAAATGTAAAAGCACATAAAGCATGAGAAGTGCTTCTGAGTTTCCCTCCATCAGCTCTGAAACTTCCTGGGACTAGACATACCTGCCACAAAGCTGCCACTAGCCACATTGGCCACGGAGACCTAGGACTAAGTTTGCTTTAGTTTTACAGTGTCAGATGAACTCACTTGGGCACTTTACCACTGAGCTGTGGTAGTCATCCCACTCCTTAATTTACATGTAGATAATCACAGCTATAAACAGTGCCTTGCCAGCACCTCTGGCTCTAGAAACTATAGAACGCATTTCTATAATTTTCTTATAGTTTACTCCCAATGAGCCCCTTAATACCATATGCAAAATGACTTAGGATTTCTCTGTTCAGCTTTGCAGATTTCAGATATGGCACAAAGGGATAGTGGTTTTTTTTTTGTTTTTTGTTTTTTTTTTGGGGGTCACACCTGGCGATGTTCAGAGGTTACTCTTGGCTCTGCACTCAGGAATTACCCCTGGCAGTGCTCAGGGGACCATATGGGATGCTGGGAATCAAACCTGGGTTGGTCATGTGCAAGGCCAATGCCCTACCCGCTGTACTGTTGCTCTGGCCCCAAGGGCTGGTGGTTTTGCATGCGGGAGACCCTTGGTTTAATCCCTGGCACTGCACTGTCCCTGTGGGCACCGTTAGAGCCACATTACCAGCAGAGTCGGAAGTACCTCACAGCACCTCTGCACGTGGCCCAGAAACAGGTGGATAAAAAAATGCAAAGTATTTTAATCAGGTAATTTATGTGCGATTACTGGGGGTGGAGAGATAGTACAGTGAGTAGGGCACTTCCCTTGCATGTGGCCAACCCGGGTTTGATCCCTGGCACTACATACAATCTCCTGAGCACTGCCAGGAGCGATCCCTGAACACACACATGAAGAAATCCCTGAGCACAGTTTGGCATGCCCATTCCCCCCAAAAATTCAAAACAAACAACAACAACAGTGTATAAATAGAACTTGAATGTGGAAATGACAAATATTGATAAAAAATTTAGAAAAATTATAAATTATAAGAAAATTTAAATTTAAATTATAACTTTTTAAAAACTGTGATGAAATAGCCATTTAAATGTGATAGTGGAATATCTGGGTTCAAAATCATTTGTAGTAAGAAAACAAAATTCTAAAACGAAGCTACTATAATTGCACATATCTTACCCCAACCCTTTGCTGGGTATGGCCCCCAAACCCAAACATTTCCCCCACCAAAGAAATCTGGTATATAAGGACTCCATTACACATCTGTTGTGCTGTCATAGAATTTGGGGAGACTGTCCCCAGTAATAAATGATTACTTTAAAAACAAATACTAGGGCCAGTAACGTCTCCATTGGAGACTTTGTTGTTACTGTGTCTGGCATATCGAATACTCTCGGTAGCTTGCCGGGCTCTCCGAGAGGGGTGGAGGAATCGAACTCGGGTCGGCCATGTTGGCCGCTTGTAAGGCGAACGCCCTACCCGCTGGCCTTTACTAGGGCCAGAGCAGGTAGGGCATTTACCTTGCATGCAGCTGACCCTGGTTGGGTCCCCAACACCCCATATAGTCCCTTGGGCATCACCAGGAGTGATCCCTGAGCACTACCCATAAACAACCCCCTGCTCCCCACAAAAATCCCAAAACCCAAACACCATCTCTTGTTTTTTTTTTTTTTTCCATTTTGCTTTTTGGGTCACTCCTGGCAATGCACAGGGGTTACTCCTGGCTCTTCACTCAGGAATCACTCCTGGCGGTGCTCAGGGGACCATATGGGATGCTGGGAATCGAACCCAGGTCGGCCATGGGCAAGGCAAACGCCCTACCTGCTGTGCTATCTCTCCAGCCCGTTTTTTTTTTTTAAAAACATTTCCAGATAACAGAATTTTAAAACTTTCATCTAGTTAAATATTCACCCAAATTATTGATCATCAAAGACAAGAAGGCATATGAACTGAGTGTTCATCTGCTCCTACCATTTCATTTCCACTGCTTTCCCACAAAGAGGAAAAAATACTCTCAGTCCAGTCTCTCCTTTAAGAAAAGTATCCAGATGCTTCTTTAATAACCTGGGGAGAAAAAAAGAATGTTATTCTTTTCTTTTTTTTTCTTTTTTTGCTTTTTGGGTCACACCCGGTGAGGTACAAGGGTTACTCCTGGTTTTTGCACTCAGGAATTACTCCTGGTGGTGCTCGGGGGACCATATGGGATGCTGGGAATTGAACCCGGGTTGGCTGCGTGCAAGGCAAACACCTTACCCGCTGTACTATCGCTCCAGCCCCAAGAAAGTTGTTCTTTTAATTAGCACAGCAGACAGGACAACAATTTTCTGATGCCAAGTACTCTTTTTCCTCATAGATTCTCTAGCATAGTATTCTGACAAATTTATGAAATAAGTATTAATCACAATCTTCGGGTACACACAGAGAAACTGGAAGGTTAAGTAACATGCTTAGTCTTAGTCACATAACCAATATCTCAACTAACTTAAACCTGGGCTCTGTGATTAGCACTGTATTCCCAGTGTTCACTGATTTGCTCGAGCGGGCACCAGTAACGTCTCTATTGTGCGACTTGTTGTTACTGTTTTTGGCATATTGAATATGCCACAGGGAGCTTGCCAGGCTCTGCCGTGCGGGCGGGATACTCTTGGTAACTTGCTGGGTTCTCTGAGAGGGATGCAGGAATCGAAGCCGGGTCAGCTGCATGCAAGGCAAACGCCCTACTCCCTGTGCTATCTCTGTGACTAGAATTTAGAAATTAGTTTTTATTGGGCCAGGGGTGTGTGTGAGTGGAGAGATAGTACAGAAGTAAGGAGCTTGCCTTGCATGTAGTTAAGCCAGGTTTGATCGCTACCATCCCAAACTGTCCCCTGAGCCACCATGAGTGAAGCCTGCACATAGAGCCAGGAGGAAGTTGTGAGCACTGTCTGGTGTCGCTCAACAATCAAAAAATAAAAATCAGATTGTTTTTAGTCAGTGGGTATGTTGGAACTGTATTAATTTCTTGTGTGTGAGTGTGTGTGTGTGAATGTGTGTGTTCACTCACAATGACAACATTCACTTTGTCAATAAGATCTCCAAACAAGTGGCCAGGTTTTAGAAGTAGCTCTGAAAAGTTTAGTTCTTTGTGGGGAGCAGGGAGGGGAGGAAGGGGTCAGACCTAGTGGTGGTCAGGGGCTATTCCTAAATCTGTGCTCAGGGGTGACCTCCGGTAGTGCTTGCAGGGGATTCAAATCAGGGTTGGCTGGGGTCCAGATAAATGCCTCTGTCCTGTACTCTGCCCCCAAAGTTTAGTTTTTCTAGAGAATTCCCTGTGGAGAGATGGGGCTCTTCTGAGATCATCACAAGACGGAGATACCATGCAAAGGTCCTGGGGTGAAGTTCAACTACCACTCACTGTGCAAATGTGGTAACGATAGTAACAGGGGAAGCCAGAATGGGACACCTCTGTCACATTACTGTGTCATAGTCACTGAATCACTGTCATCCTGTTGATCGTTGAATTATTAGAACAGAGCCAGTAACATTGCTATTCCTCCCAGCCCTGAGATTTTAGCAGCCTCTCCTTACTCGTCTTTTCCAATGATTGGAAGCTCTTTCAGGGTCAGGGGAATGAGACCTGTTGTTGCTACTGCATTTGGCATATCGAATACACCACGGGGAGCTTGCCAGGCTCTGCCCGTGCAGACTGGGATATTCTCAACAGCTTGCCGGGCTCTCTGAGAGGCATATATTTATATATTTCTCTCTATGATTTGTTGCCTACTGTCTGAACCCCATCAGATATGGTGCAGTAATTGTGGAAAATGGGTAGGAAGTGTCTTATAATGTGTCGTGAGGCCGCAAAGCGGCCGTGCAGTCTGGAAAGCGGCCTGGAGTGTGGTGGTGGTTGGGGAGTGGAGGTCGGCTGCCGGCGGCTGGTTCCCTTGGAATAGTCACATCAAGAAGTTTTCCACTCTGAGCATCTCTCTGCTTACTGATCACTCCCCTACACTTCTTAGAGAACACTTTCATGTTGGAACATGTGATTGGGGTGCAAAGTCGGAACGGCGATTCCCACCGTGAAGAGGGGTGAACAAAAATGTGGCATGAATGTTTGCCAGGTCTTTGAAATTTATGAGCAAGACACACGTGCCCGAAGGGTTTTACGGAGACACTCCGTGCGCTGAAGAAGCTACAGATGGGAAGAAGCCACTGCTGAGACTTCCCAGGGAAGCAGGACACTGCGGGGTGAGAGTGCCATCCCTGCCCTCTGATGCCAGAGAGGCTAAAAGGGGCAGGACTGAAAACATTCCTCTTAAAGCTAGATTACTGTTCTAGTTCCAAAGTCAGTTTCTAGGAGCTGGGGCAATAGTGGGTAGGGCATTTACCTTGCCCACAACCGACCTCAATTCGATTCTTGGTCCCCCATATGGTCCCCAGACCACTACCAGGAGTGACGCCTTGGTGCAGCCAGGAGTAAGCCCTGAGCAATGCCGAGTGTGGCCCCCAGAGAAAACAACACTTAGTTTCTGATAGAGCATTTCTGTTACAGACCAAAGGTGTCACACGGCACCCTCAACCTCCACCAGAAGTGATGCTTGAGTGCAGAGCCAGAAGTGAGCCCTGAGCATCGCCAAGTGTGGCCCCCAAAGAAAACAAAACACAGTTTCTGTTATAGAGCGAAGTTGTCTTACTGATGTCCTTGTTCTTGATGAAATCCGATTTTGCGCGTCACCCACTTTTCTTGCCATTCTTCCAGAGTCAGCACTCGGTCTTTCTGCACGTCTATGGTGGGGTACTCTTTGACATCATGGACTGTTCTTGCATCATCCATCGCTTTACAGTCACCCTTTGCCTCACAACCAATTTTGCAAAGACCTGAAAAGAAAATGTTCATTGTTGTTATTTGAAGACACTGCAATAGTTCTGGGGAATGAAACAAAAGCCCACTATCCGTGGCTGTATGGTGTTCCAAATAGTCTTTCAGGCATTGGGGAATGGCTTGGAGGGCCAGGTACATGCTTTGCCCATAGGAGTTCTACGCTCAAATTTGATTCTGAGTCCTGGTCAGAGAAATTGCCCCTTCTCTCTGCCTCCCTGCAAAAAAGGAAAAAAAAATCGCTTGGGGCCAGCGTGACAGGACAGCAGGAAATATACTTGCCTTGCAAGCAGTCATTGCAGGTTGGATTCCCAGCACCACTAAAAATCACCCGAGTCCCATCAGGAGTGTTTCCTGAGCACAGAGTCAGGAGTAAGTCCTGAGCACTACTAGAGAGTAGCCTCCAAACCAAACCACATCAAACCAAAGTGTGGGAGAGCCCATTAATTGGTTTCAGGGGGCTGGGCGAGGGAGCTGGGAGATTGAGCAATTTTTTTTTTTTTTGCTTTTTGGGTCACACCCAGCGATGCACAGGGGTTATTCCTGGCTCTGCACTCAGGAATCACCCCTGGCGGCGCTCAGGGGACCATATGGGATGCTGGGAATCGAACCCGGGTCTGCCACGTGCAAGGCAAACGCCCTACCCGCTGTGCTATTGCTCCAGCCCCAGATTTAGCAAATTACATGCTGCCCTTCCTCCTCCCAGTATTCCTCATTCTTGGCCTCTGGAGTTCTCTCCTGCAAACAGGATGGCTCATGGACTTTAAGCATTGCTAGTTTAAAATGTAACTTTCTCTTTTGGGAGGTGGCCCACAGCCAGAGTGCTTAAGGGCCACTTCTAGCTTGGAGCTCAGGGATCACCCTGAGTGCTTGGTGCTCAGAGGAGCTTATGGGTCGCTGAGGATAGAACTGGGTCTACCTGAGGATAGAACTGGGTCTACCACACGGCAAGGCAGATGCCTTATCCCTGGTACTATCTCTCCCACCCGGAAACTTCCCTTTCTTCATTTGGCCTATAGTTCTTCGCGTCCACGTGTTTTCTGGATTTCTGCACTTTATTGCTTTTGTCTCCTTTTTTTGACCTCCTTCTGTTAGTACCTTATGACTTAAAAACACACTGTGCGCAGGGCAGGGAAGATGGCCCAAACAACTAGTACGTACTCTGGAAGCAGGGAGCCTGGTTCCTTCCCCAGCAGCATAAGACCCCGTGAGCACCCCCAGGGGCGGTTCCCCTGAGCACCATTGGGGATGACCAAAAAAAAAAAAAAGAAAGTAGCACTGCACTGTCCTCCCATTGTTCATTGATTTGCTTGAGAGGGCACCAGTGATGTCTCCATTATGAGACTTGTTTTTGTGTTTGGCATATTGAATTCATGGGGAGCTTGCCACAGGCTTTGCCATGCGGGCGAGGTACTCTTGGTAGCTTGCCGGGCTCTCTGAGAGGGGTGGAAGAATCGAATCTGGGTCAACCGCATGCAAAGCAAACACCCTACCTGTTTTCCTTTTGCTGGGATTTCAGGAGATTATAAGCAGATGCTTGGGTTCAAGATCCGACCTCTGGTCCCCAGGTTCCTATTTTGAAACTCTTTCTTACTGTTGTTGCTGTTTGGTTTGTGGACTGCACCGGGTAGGATTCGGGGCTGTTCGAGGCAGGGCTGGGGATCCAAACCTGGACTTCCCTCGTGCAAAGTTCTGTGCTCAGTCCACACAGCTAACTCTCCAAGCCCACTGCCTGTTTTGTGACTTGGCAAACTCACTCCTTGAATTCACAAAGAAGGGTTGCGTACACATACCTGCAAACCTATCACGATCACGATCATCCTGTTGTCTGTCGATTGCCTCGAGCAGGCACCAGTAACATCTCCTTCCTAGCCCTGAGATTTTAAAAGAGCATTATTCAGTGCTCTTTCAGGGTTAGGAGAATGAGATCCATCATTGATATTGGTATTTGGCATATTAAGTACGACATGGGAAGTTTGCCAGGCTCTGCCGTGCGGGCAGGATACTTTCGGTAGCCTGCTGGGTTCTCCAAAGTAAGAACGAGATAATAAGCTTCCGGGAGCTGGGTTTTATAGTCTCTGGGTCTTGGCCGTTGATGGGACCACCTGGCGGCGGCGGCAGCTGGTGGGTGTGACGCCTACCTACTGGAAGATGGGGGATCTGGGTGGGGAAGGCCCAGTCCCGATCTGAGCAGGCTTGGAGATCTCAGCCCTGGGACCTGCATGCCTGGGTTCCTCTGCCAGTTCTTTCATGCATGAGGCTTGTCCAGACATGTGAAGAGTGGTCTCAGCATGGCTATGGCCAGTTCTGGAGGTCTTCAGCTGCTGGGGCTCTGCTCGGGGCGGGGAGGGAAACTCAACCCGCCCCCCTCCAAGGGGCCCTGGTGAGGACAGCCAGGCACAGGGGCAAGAGACTCTGCAAACCTATCTCAAGATAAAATGGGGCTGGAGCGATAGCCCAGCCGGTAGGGTGTTTGCCTTGCACGCGGACGACTGGGTTCAATCCCTGGCATCCCATATGGTTCCCGGAGCACCACCAGGAGAAATTCCTGAGTGCAGAGTCAGGAGTCATTGCTGGGTGTGACCTAGAAAATTGCCTCCCCCCCCCATAGGAGGAGATGTATATCTTTTCAATGTTGATGCTGCTCAATTAAAGACAAAGTAAGGACATCAAAATTCTCATTTCTCTTCGAATCATTCATAGAACTCCTTTAGTTTGGATAATAGGGACATGCTACGATTGATAAGTCCAATTAAATGATTTATTCAAGAGAATGGGAAATATTGCAGAAAAGTTGGAAAAGTTCTGTCCTTTCTCTCAAATGTAGGGTTTGGTGTTTAGGGCTTAAGAAGATACTTTCCTTCAAGATGGAAAACAATTTCACTTCTCAGCCAGTATCTGCAAATCCATGATTTTGTTCAGAGAAGACTCACAGAGTTTTCTAAGAAATCTGGAGAAAGTATCTGATTTTATCGGGTATCAAATGCAAATGAGTCACAACTCTCCTATCTGCATCTTTAGCCGGAAACTCTGGAACTTGGGCTGCGGCCTGTATAAAATTGTTCTTTTCTTGAAGCAAGAGGGAAGCAGGGTTTTATAAAAGATCTAGGACAATCTGGAATTGCACAACTTGATCCTTTCACACAAATCGACAGTGGAAGCACATCACGAATAGAACTGAGATCACTTCTTAGTCCATGATTTTAGTCCACAGCTTTTCTTTATAAAATCAGGTCAAGGAAGGAATGATTTTTTTCACAATTCCTCCCCAAAATACAAAAAAAAAAAAAAAAGTAGGATTGTGCTAAGAGTCAGTCCTCTCTTTGGGTGACTCACAAATCTGGTTTCTTCCACCATTTTAAGATGATAAAAAAAAAGTTTCTGATTTATCTTAGCTTTTTTTTGTCAAACTGAAGAATAACTTTCCTAAAATTTTAAAAGCACGCGATTTTTTGCACATAGAATGTGCATGGAACTCCATACATATGCAAGGAACCACAAGGCAGCAAGATGGTGACTATTCACAGCACTGGAGCTTACATCCTCCAAGTCTGCTCCCAAACCCCTACCCCAAAGCATCATCACCCACTATTCCTGCAAGAGCTCCTCTTCTTGGCTAGGTTTTTAGGTGCTCAGGCGCTACCCTCTTTGTCTGGGGGGGGGGGGGTCGTTTCTGGCGGTGGTCACTAAGCAATGCTGGAGAGAGAACCTGGGGCTTTCACACGCCAAGCAAGAGCTCCAGCCCTTTGAATTATGCTCCTAGCCCCAACTTCCCTTTCTCCGGGCTGGCAGCAGCACTTGTCGAAAGTAGGGTAGGAAGCACGGAGTCTTTTCAGTAAAATAACGAATCCACCGCCAGGCTCTGGCGTCCTTTAAAAAAACCAGGGACACAACCGAGAGGGCAGTCGGCGCCCGCCCTCATTATTTACAGAGCGCAGAGCGCGTGAGGCTGGCCATTCCAGAATCCTAGCACGGGCAGCCACCGAGCCAAAGGTTCCACCTCTCGCCACCCCCCATCTCTGCAGCCTCACCTCGTGCAGCGCCCGATACCTGCCCGGGGTTCCGCCGGCGCGAGGCTTCCCGGTCCGTGGGGCACAGACCACGTGTCCTCGCCACCTCCCCGCCCCGCCCCGCGCCACGCCCCCAGCCACGCCCAATCACCGCCGGGCACACCCAGGCCACGCCCAATCACCGCTTAGCACGCCCCCCAGTCACGCCCCTTTCCCGGCGGCCCAGACCCCGCCCCGCGGCGGAAATGGCGGGGGCGGGGCGAGCGACAGCAGCAGCAGCAGCGGCGGCGGCGGCGGCAGCGGCAGCGGCGGGGACCGAGTCCTGCCCGGGCGCGGCGGCGGCGGCTCCGCCCAGCGCCGGTCACGCCGTGACAGGGGCGGAAGCGGCGGCGGCGGCGGCGGCGGCTGCAGCGGCCGAGCCGGGGCTGCTGCGCGCCGCGCGGCTCCCGAGAGACGCGCGCAGCCCGGAGCGGCGCTGCGAGGTGCGGGGCGCGCGCGCGCACGGAGCCGGGTGGTCGTAGGGGGGGTTGACAGCGCTGCACAAAGCCGCCGCCCCTCCTCCTCCTCCCGGGCTTCAGGAGGGGTCCCGGGGAGGGGACGTCCCGGGGAGGGAGTGGGGCGTCCCGGGAGCGTCGCCCGCGTTTGGAAGTGGGGCGCGCGCGCGCGGGCTTGGGGCAGGGCGCAGTTTTCCCGGGCGGTGCTGTGGCTTCGGGGGAGTCCCCCGATACCCAATTAATTGCTCCTCACCCCCACCTCATCATCATCATCCTCATCCTCATCATCATCATTAATTTTGGACTCTGCAGCGGCGCCTTCTCCCCGACGCTCCTTGCACCCCGTCGGCGCCCAGGTGAGCCCCGGGAAGTGGGGGGACTTCTTGGGGGGAGAAGAAACGGAAGCGAGGCGCAGCTGCAGACGTCGTCGGAAACGTGGTGGGGGGGCGCGCTCCGGGGTGGGGTGGGGTGTCCCGGCACCTGCGGGGGCGTGGGAGGGGGACCCAGCCTACCCCGGGGGGGCTGCCTGGCGCGGGGTGCGGGGGCGAGCGCGCAGCCCTGGCAGGTGTCGTTGTCGTCGTTGTCGTCGTAGTAGGACTCAGCCACGGTGCGTGGACGCTCCAAAGAGCGAACGTTTGGCGTGGACCTAGTTGCTGGGGGTAACTCCTCCGGGACGCGGACCCCCGAGTGGTGGGGAGTGGGGGGCGGGGTGGCGGTGCGTATGCACGGGGTGGCCGCGGGAGGTGAAAAGAGGAAAGAAGAGACGCCCCGAGAAGTTGGGGGTTCGGTGATGTGGAACGGAGCCAGCTGGAGGCCCAGTGCTCCCCTAGTGGCGTGCACCCCAAGAGTAGAGACTTGTCCGCTTGGGGGAGATCGCTCACTCCTACCTAGCTAGATGCAGCTTAGGTTGTTATTATTATCATTGTTATTATTATTATTATTATTTTGATTTTTGGGTGCATCTTGTTGGACTTACTTTTTTTTTTGCATTGTGTTTGAGTGCAGGGATAGCGAGTGGGAGGAAAGGGGAAAGGGTTTCTTCTTTGGAAGACTTGGGAAACAGTCGGCATTAATAATTAATTGTCATGGGGACAGAGAAAATCAGCAGCCGGATGATGGTTCAGGATCTGTACTGAGGGAATTTTGCTTCGTGTGGGTGCAGAAAGCTAGCATCCTTCTTTTAAGTAGCGCGGAGGAAAAATTTCTCTGTTTCTTGTTGTCTCAGAAGAAGTTTCTAGTCATTTGTCCTATTTCAGAAAGTATGTTGATTTTACTTTACCTGCGGTTAGTACTTGGAGCCCTTCTGATTAATATTTGCGGTGAGTTACATGCATTTTTTTTTTTTTAGTTTTAGTTGTAGTTCTCTATTGTGTGACATCAGAAATTTACTGGCTGCTTCCAAGAGCCTGATAACTATTTTTTAAAAATTTTTATTAGTGAAACACCATGAGGTACAGTTGTAGACTTATAAATTTTTGTGCTTGAGTTTCAGTTATACAATGATCGAATACCCATCCCTCCACCAATGCCCATTCTCCACCACCACAGATCCCAGTTATATGCATTTTAAGAGCAGAGTTATTTGGGGAGGAAAAAATTGGGGAATTTTTGAAACAAATCTAGATATTGAGGTATCCAGTTTAGATATTTGCCTGCTCAGATCCCCATTTTTTCTTTTATCATAGTAGAAGGAAATTAAAATCTTTGACTTGAAAATTAGGGAGAAATAAGCTTATACAATTACAAAATTATCTTGAACTGAAAAGGATTATACCAAAAAACAAAAGGATATGAACAAAGGGATTATATCCAAAGTTAGGTGTGTTTATTAATTTGAAGAAAGAGGTGGGAAAGAATTTTTAGATTATGTCTTTCTGGGAGAAATAGTACAGTGATTAAGGTGCTTGCTTTGTATACATCTGACCTGACTTGCATCCTGGAATTGCACTTGGTCCCCCACTTCCTGTCAGCAGCCCTGGGGGAGTGATTCCTAAGTGTATAACCAAGAATAAGGCCTGAGCATAGCTGGGTGTGGGCCACTTCTGACGCCCTCG